CACTTTTCCGGGTTAAGTTTCAGACGGGCTTCCCTGAACCTCTCGAACAATTTCCGTAAGTTGAGCATGTGCCCTTGGAATGTGCGGCCTATTACTATCACGTCATCCAAATATACAAGACATGAATCGTACGTGAGCCCTCGTAGGACTGTCTCCATTAGCCTCTCGAAGGTTGCCGGTGCATTGCAGAGGCCAAAGGGCATGACTGTGAACTGCCATAACCCTTGCCCTGTCGAAAACGCTGTTTTCTCTTTGTCGTCTGGGTGTACATCCACTTGCCAATAGCCACTCGTTAAATCAAGAGTTGAAAACCATTTGGCTCCGGCCAGCGTGTCCAGGGTGTCGTCAATGCGGGGTAGCGGAAAGCAATCCTTCTTGGTGACGTCGTTCAGCTTTCTGTAGTCCACACAGAAACGGAGCTCCCCATTCCTTTTCCTGACCAAAACGACCGGGGACGACCAAGGGCTGTCCGATTCTTCTATAACCCACTATCCTCGCATGTTTTCGAGCATTTCCTTTACTTCTGCTTGTTTTGCCAGGGGTACTCTCCTCGGTGGCTGTCGAATTGGTCGGGCTTCTCCCGTGTCTATGCGGTGATATACTCTGTTTGTCCTTCCATAATCTTCATTGTCTTGTGCGAAGATATCGGCGTACTCGGATACGAGATCCTCTAAATCCTGAAATTCTCCGGGGCTTAGGTGTGGCTTGGCGGCTGTGATCACGTCCGCTAATTTCGGTGTTACACTTGGTGCTGGTGGCTGCCCAACCTCGGGCAAAGCTACGAATGTTACTGGCTCACAGTGCGCCAGAGGAGATCCTCTCCTGAGCTTTTGGTCCTTGTGGGTAACATTCATGACCCTCACTGGTACTTCTTGACAGCCCTGAACAAGGGTCCTGGCTACGTAGATTCCTTCAGGCGGGTGGGCCTGTGGGTTTGGTTCTACTAGACCATTTTCTACTCCCAGATGATTCTTCATTTTAGCCATAACTATTCCCTCGCTCCGTGCGGGTATCACATGGCCATTTGCCACCACTAAGCTCGAAGGTCGGGGTCCTGCCCTAGGACTCCATAGCGATACTTCTTCCGCCAGACGCAGAGTTTGGCTCCCTATATCCACTGAAGCATCATAGGCGCGCAGTATGTCCAGTCCCAGGATGAGCTCATCGGTGATATTCGCGACGAAAACCCACATTGTTATCGGTTGGCGCCCCAGGGTAAGGGTCAACATAACTTCTTTCAGGATGGGAAGGGATCCTCCAGACACGGTCTGCAGCGAGAAATCTGGATTTGGCTGTCTTTCAGGCCATCCGGCGGCGATATTCGGTCTTACTACGTGATGTATGCTACAGTGTCCACTGTAACCTGACACGGCTTATCACCGACCCTTCCCTGGGTGACCAGACTGGTGTTGGCTTTCTCCGTCATGTCCGTGAGTGCGTAGTGTGGGGGCCTTAACGCATATGCCGGCGTTCGCCCTTCTCCGCCGGCTGTTGCTCGTTTCCCGAAGGTTGGTCGTTTCTCCAGCTTGTTTCCCTGTTGTTTCTGGGTCGCCATTCTGATTTCACCGGCGATTCCCGTTTATTTCTTGGAGGTCCTTCTCTTCGGTCCTGATGCTGTCTATTGTCATCTCCTCGTTGGGTGGGGAACGATCGGAACTTTGTGTTATCTCCGTGAGGTGTGGCTGCTACCAGTACCGCCTGCAGCTCTAGCGCTTGTCGGAGGGCCTCGTTTACCGTCTTTTCCCCTCCCAGCAGCAGCTGGAACTTTATATCGGCATCTCGTATTCCGTATGCGAAGGCTTTTCCTGCCTCCCTTCCTATGTGGTCAGCAGGTAGATTGGGGTAGGCACGACGGGAAAGGAGTTCAATGGCCGTGGCGAAATCTTGCAGGGATTCTCCAGGTCTCTGCGTCCTCGTTCTTAATTGGCAGTGGTAAGCAGCTGCAAAGTGTTGGTCCCCGAAACGGTCCTCTAGAGCCTGAAGTGTTTCCTCGTAAGTGGTATTTGTCGGAATGCCGGGTAGTATTTCCGCCGCCCGACCCTTCAGGACAGTAATTAGGTACGTCGATTTTTCCTTATCCATCCATTGGTTGTGCTCTGCTACGGTTTCGAATTGTCGCCGAAACACGCTCCATGTTGAATTCCCTTTGAACGTCGGGGACTGAGCTGTGCTCGCGACGATTGTTGATGTATTTCCCCGCTCGGCCTTCATTTGTACTATGTCCAACCGTGCCTGGACATCTCGTTTGGTCTCTTCAATTGCTGCACAGGTTTTCGTTAGTTCTTCCTGGATATTTCGTTTGTCGTGTTCAACGATTGTTAAAATGTTTTGAACTCTATGTTGGATTTTATCATCCAATTCTGTTCGCATAGATTGCATTGCGGCTTTCAATTCTTCCTTGTCGGCCTTCCTATCGGCCGCCGCCTTTTCCTGATTGGCGTCTAATTGGGATAGTAAATCTTCTTTGTCTGTTTTCCTATTTTCTTGCATGGCCTTCATCTCTTTCAGCATGTCGTCTTTTTTCAGTTTTCCTATCAGCGTATAATTTTGCCAGCATGATATTTGATTTTTCTTGATTGGATTCTAATTTCGCTAGGAAAGTGGTCTCCATTCGCTCTCGGTCGGCATCTGCTTTTACTTGGTTTGCCCTCATCTCTTCTTGATGGTTTCGGAACATTTCTTGTTGTCTCTGCTTTCCTTCAGTAGAAGTTCCTTCTCCGCCTTCCTTTCTTCCTTCTCCGCCTTCCTTTCTTCCTGCTCCGCCTTCCTTTCTTCCTTTCTATCGGCCTCTGCCTTCGCCTGCATTTCTTTGTTGGTTTTCATGCTGGCGTCCATCCTAGCCAGCATTTCCATCATCTGCTGCATCTCCATCTTGTCGCAGTAGAATACACGATGCACAATAATTCAGTTCGTGGCGTGTTTAAGTTCGTAACACTTCTGACACCAATGTATCGTGTTTCGTTACTGAATATGCCGTAGAGATCGTTAAGTGCTTTATTCAACAATCTACAACTGTCGGCTACAATTAATTATAACAATGTTACGGGTTTCCACAGTTTACAAACCCTACAACAAAATCTCTTAACACAATCTTCACTTGTCTTCACGTACTAATAACGCGGGAGCTATACAAGTCTCCCTCAATTACACACTCCAGATATAACTGGTTATCCCGAACTATCACTGATTCTCGCACACGCATCTGTAGCTCGTAACTTGCGAACCGAGAACTCGTTGATAACACACTGACTCTCGCTTGCTGCTCAGCCGGCTTTTATTCCGTTCGCTGTTGCTAGTATGAAGTGGCGTATAGCCTAGGACGCTGTTACCCCTTGGTGACGTCACCGCTGTTGACTCCTTTGCATAGCTTCAAGGTTGCGGGGACTCGGCTCACTTCGGCTCTGCCTGTGACGTCACCGCGGTGAGAGTTGCGGGGTGATGACTCGCCTATTACGCGAGCGCTACGTTACCGCTGGGAAGGTAGGGGTCACATGTCACAATATGTAAAAGTAAAGTAAGTAAAGTAGAGCTATCTGTGTAACAGGCCGTCAAGGCCCATAGGGTTGTGAGATGTTCATAAGTTCAATACTGAACACAATAATATTTATTTACTTACTTGCTTACTCGTGGAGCTGAGCCCTTCTTGAGGAGCTGCCAATTCTGCAGCTACTCAAGAATTTCGCAGCATTTCATTGAACCTGAAGGTTCATCACCGTGTTCACAAGAGCCCTCCACTGGTCCCTATCCTGAGCCAGATCTATCCAATCCATACCATCCCCTCCTATCTCTCTAAGATCCATTCTAATATTGTTCACCCACCTATGCCTTGGACTTCCTGTGGTCTCTTTCCTTCTGGCTCTCCCACCAATATCCTATACGCATTCCTCGTCTCCCCCATTCGTGCTACATTACATATTTAAGATTTTCAAGATTCATTATATTACTTCAGTAATTTCATTATGTTGTGTTCAATAATATGGCCAACATAATGAATGTACTGAAGGAATATAATGAACCTTAAAATAAAATATCTGAAGCAATATAATGAACCTTGAAAATCTGAAATATGTAAATGTTCACAAGTTCAATGTTGAACACAATAATATGGCCAACAGAATAAAATAACTGAAGGAATAAAATGAACCTTAAAAATCTGATGTTTATATATTTATGTTCATAAGATCAATGCTGAACACAATCAAATGGCAAAAATAATGCAACGACTGAAGGGATATACCCATAATAACAAATTAGGTGAACAAAATATGTGGACACTAATAAGTAAAACTTCCTACGTAGGAAGTAGTAATAAATTTAGTTACAAAATATACACTGAATCCTGACATTGATTCTGCTCCTCAGTGTTTCATGCTGAATCAGGCAACCTGAAGATTGCAAGTCAATTATAAAATAATGCCACTTCACTCTTACCCACATATAAACACGAACCATTTGAGTCAGAAAAGAATTTCCCACACAATTCTTGACTGAAATATAATTATTTTCAGATATAGGGCAGAATGAACTCTGATCATCTTCTGACAATGATGTTCTAATACTCTGGGAAGAAGGAAACAGGTCTCCAAAGCAAGGAGAGGGAGCTCAAGATCAGAATAGGTTTCTTGTACGTAATCAGACTCTAGGTGATAATGTTATCAACAAATTACTCAATACCAGAGGTTTGAGACAAGAGCATGTGAAGGCATGGCAGTTGCAGTTGCTTGTCATCAGGGTTACTTTCTCCAACTTATGAAACATCTATAGATGCTCTTGTGAGCAATTGGAATATATTATTCCAGTAATTCAACAACTGCTCTCTGCCAATTTCCAGGGCTGGTATGGGCAGGATATTACAAGGCAAAGATGAAGAAGCATTACTTTCCTAATGACTTACTGATGTGTCAGTATCTTATTCTTCCTCTTTGTGGCCCTTTGCCTGGCTGATTCAGTCATCAACCTGTTTGTTCGCTTACACCATCAAGGAATGTAAATTCTTGTGAGACATCTCACAATACCATCTACTATTCCTTGGTAGTGAAGTGAACAACCAGTACACCTAATCCACTCCAAGTCAATGGTGCTCTTAATGGCAGCTGTGATATGCTGCAACATGAATTGAATTGCCTACCATGACCATCATAGATTATATTGGAGTTACAGCATACCGACAGTCTCCACACCAACGTCTCAGAAATATATGAAGACATTGGTTGATAGAAGCACTTCAGATGTCACGCATGTCTTGTGTGCATCACAGCTGACACCATGAAACACCTGTCTGGCAATGGAACCACTGACATAGGCTACTGAGAACACTTCCATATCACCAGCATGTACTGCAGCAACCATGTCCTTCTGTACTTGTTGAGTAACATGGAAACTCAGGAACTTCATCGGGGGTTTCCTTGCCATGACTTGTGGATGGATTTGGTGAAGAAGCATCAGGTGCCCTGAACAATGACTATAGGTTACACACAACAGTAGCACCATCATCCTCACAACTAGTTCCACACAGACCTCTGATAGCAAGTGCACTGATGATGTTAGTCTTCAGGGCATCTACAAACTGTCCCACAGTTGGATTATTGTTCAAACCAGACTACAAACGAATAGCTTCAAATGTGTTCACAAGGTGATCACCAAACAGCTGTTGCCAGGTATTCACCACAGCACCCCACTGAAAGAAGATTAAAAAGGAAATTAGTGGGCTTCCTTACATGATGGACTTCTTCAGATTTGAAAAAAACACACTTTACTTGAAAGGGACTGCCATTATAAAGATTTTGTATATTTCATTAAATTATTCCTCATAGCAGTCGTCACCACCTTATTCTCTTATAAATCATATTCCCTGAATTGAATTGAATTTATTTGCATTCCATAGACCCTAAGTAGGTTAATAACTCTGGATATGGAACAAGTCAAAATAATACCTACTTGTACAAGTAATTTTATCTTAAACTAATATAGCTTAATTCTACATTATTCTCTATTTACATTGAGGTATTCGTCTACAGAGTAGAAGGAATGAGCATGCAGATATTTCTTTAGCTCTGATTTAAAATGTTTAGTATAATTACTCAAGTTTTTGATACTTTGTGGGAGACTATTGTACACTTTTATGCCAGAAAAGTAGACTCCTTTTTGATATAGTGATAAGTTTGATGAAGGTAGATGGAAGTTATATTTTTGT